ATGAGATTATCTTTTTTGTTGTTTTTATTTTATTTTTTGAGACAGGGTCTCAATAAAGGTTCAGGCTGGTCTTGAACTCACTGCATAACCCAGGGTGGCCTTGGACTCCTGCAGATCCTCCTGCCTCAGCCTCCCCAGTGCTGAAATTACAGGCATGGAACACCAGGCCTGGCTCCAGATTATCTTCCTAATAAATTCTAATTAGTCTAGCAATGGGACTGCCATACATCTTGGAGAATACATGTGAAGTACTGATCCCACTCTCGAGGTCTGTGATGTGCCAGGGCAGAGCATGTGCATGGAATGCTCTTGTATGTGCGAGAACACACGACTAGCTGTCACTGCCAAGCTCCTTACATATTTAGCTTCCAACTGTCAAACATGGTAGGTTGCTGTTACCCTTTCCCTCTTACAGATTAGGAAACTGCAGCCCAGAGAGACTAAGTAACTGGCCACATAGCAGTGCCCGGGGCATTCTAGCTTTTGAATTTGTATTCATACCACTGCATAATTTGCTTTTGAGTGTGTCCTTGTGTTTGTGGATCTGTGTGTGTGCAGACCTTTGTGCCTATCAATGCTGTTTCAGTGTGTATCAACGTGCCTGGCTGTTGACTTGAAATATTTGTGTGGAGGCCATAGCTGGGTGTGCATGTGTATTTGTGCATTGTTGCCCACCACAATCTGCATGGCGGTCTGTGGAAGCGGCTATGCAGCGCGGCCCACCAGCCCTTCCTGGACCCATGCTCCCACACGTCCGGCACCCCAGCCTCAGTGGCAGGAGATGTGGCAGTCCCCGGGACCCTTGGGCAGAGCCCTCTCCCAGATCCCAGGGGTTTCCAGTTTGCAGACCCAGCTGGGCACAGCGGCACACAGTGTCACCCCCTGGAGATCCATCTCCTGCTCTTCACTGCATGCTGGGTCTGGAGTTCACCTCCAGGTAAGCTTCATTATTAAAGAATGGGGACTTTGCCTCCTATCACAGAAACAGAGCGCTCCGAGATTTGTGAATCTACCAATGTGACCTCACACTGTCACCACCCCTGCCTGAGCTGATAGGGCTCCCACCAAAAGCAAAGCAACTCAAATTTTTGCTACCGCAGGAAGCCTACATAGATCCCGAATACGTTGGTTTTGAGGGTTTCTTTGCAGGTAGGAGACAGAGAAGGTCCAGAAAACCAGCTTTGGTCCATCCACTCTAAAACGATGTTCGGAAGCAGAGCTTCCTCGGCTGCCATAAAACTGCAGCTAAGCCCCAGATTCTCCACCATCGAAGTCAAACCTGCCCCCAACCTGCTTTCCAGGAGCGAGGCGGCTTGGTACTTACCCATCCATCTGGGGTGCACTTTCCTGCCACATGACCCCCCTCCTGCAGCCACCCATGCTGCAGGAGGACTGGTGGGCTGGGGGGTGGGGGTGTCCTGATTTTTGAGGTTCCCACAGTCAAGGAGGAGGGGCCAGGTATGGCGGGGAGGACAAATCACAGCATCCCAGCTTGGGCCTGAGGTGGTTCTTTATTTGCTGCCTTCAGGGAGGCTGAGCTGGGAACTGGAATGTACTTTCCACACCTTTCTCCAAATCCTTTTCATAGAGTTCTCCCCAGTCCCAGTGATAAGATCCCAGGTCCCAGGGAAAGCCACAGTCCCTCAGCACACAGCCATCTTCGTACGGAGGTGAGGGGTGTGGAGGAGGAGAGAGGGGGCTGGAGATGTGGAGTTACCGAGCTGGGGGCTCCAGTGCCTGCCCCCCGACACCCAGGCAGGGGACCAGGAGCAGCCAGCCAGACTTGGGGGATGGAGATCGAAGGCAGAAGAAACTGTCCAGGCCTCCTAGGACCACCCCACTCCCAGCTGTGGAATCCACACGCTTGGGGAAGGGCAAGCCACATCCTATCCAGAGAACAGATAATAGAAATCCTTTCTGATAAGGGACAAAGAGGACCTGTTTCTGTGCCTGTCTCCTAGCCAGGATGCCTTCAGATGTGCTCTCTCCTGCACTGTGACTCCCCAGCAGAGGTGCTAGAACTACCAGGGCTCAGACTTGAGATCCTCCTGCCTCAGCTGCCCAGAGACTGGGATGACAGTACGTGCTACCATGCCCGGCTGCTGATTTTTCTACTATGGATGCCTATATCAGAGGCTCTGTGGTAGATGCAATGAGCTGGGCAGGGGGTGACCCACTCGGGCCTTGGCAGTGGAGCATACACACCAACCCTGGCCACCCACTGTCCCTCTCTGGCTGCATCTCCTCCTGTGTACAATGGGGACCAGACGACTCGGGTGTGAAGGACCAGCCAAGCCATGTGGCTCTCATCTTCCCGGACCTCCCTGGCTCTGCTCCCTCTGTCTTCTGATCACCAGCTCTCCAGGACACAAGACAGCTGTGAAATGACCCCTTAGATTCATCAAGTCAGTGACAACCGGAAGTGGCAGGTGGGGGCTAATTTTCCAAGTAACTGACTCTTCTAAGGAAAGGAAGACAGGGGCTGGGGATTTAGCTCAATGGTGCTGCGCCTGCCTGGCAAGGCAAGGTCCTGAGTTCGATCCCTGGTACCCACACAAAAAAAGAAAGGAAGACAGTGACCCATTTGTGGATGGATAGCTGGCAATTCTTCCCCACCCAGGTAGGGTCACAAGTGGCAGCTCTGTCCCCTTCTCAGATGAGCAGTGAGTCACCTCCACCATCTCCCTCAGTCACCAGAGCCCCCACTGTCTCCTGGCCCCAGCTCCACACGGACGCTCCAGCAGGCTGGTACCACAGCCCTTGGTGTGAGCCAGGCTGGGCAGGGTGTGTGGAAACACAGGGCTGGGGTGGAAGCCACAGGACCATGTTAGTAAGCAGCATCTGGGTTGCTTCCTGGTCGCCATGGAGAACTAGCAGGGACCTTACAGACCGCTGGTATGGAGTCATACTCTCCAGGTTCAATTACAGCTTTGTCTCTCATCAGCTGTGTGCCTTTGAAAAAAGTACTTAACTTCTCTGAGCCTCAGTTTCCTCATCTGCAGAAGGGAGATGAGATGCTGCACTCATAGGGATGTACAGTAACGGCTGGATGAGGTCATATCTGTAGCGTTCCTGATTCCCAGAAGGCACAATGGAGGAGGAAAGATGATGGGTGGAAGGAACTGCCTCCACAGTTCCACCGAAAATTGGAGGTGGTGAGTCAGATGTGGTGGTGCATACCTGTGATCCCAGCACTCAGGAGGCTGAGACAGGAGGATCACTGTCAGTTCAAGGCCATCCTGGGCTACACAGTGACTTCAAGTCCAGCCTGAACTACATAGTGAGACCCTGTCTCAAAAAACAAAACAAAATGACATTGGGGGTGTCCAAGCCCAGACCACCCCCTCTCTCATCCAGGGCCACAGTCCTTGGCACAGCCTACGTGCTTTGCTAATTCCAGCATTCAGAAACTTGAAATCTATGTGGTATCTCATCAGGGTGGGAGGGGATAGGTGCAGGGAGTGACATGTGTCATTTTGATGACATGCCCATGCTGCCCCATATCTGCTCATTCTCAATCCTAAAAATACTGGCAGTCTGAGTTCCAGGGGCAGGGGACGTTTCTGTTCCTTGGGAAAACTTGTGCCAGCTGGCAGTGAAGAACCCCTGTGATAGTTCGGGGACAGTGACCACCCCTCCACCTGCTGCCATCTCAGAGCCAAGTGCCTGCTGGAGGGCACAGCTCTTAGACCATCCAGGGGCCTCATCTCCAGCCAGGCCACCAGGAGCCGGGAAGAGCAGCAGCTGCCCAGCTCCCGAGCCTGAGATGTCCACCCTCACCACCCAGCGACCCACTCAGCTCCCCTAAAGCGGGCAGGGCAGGTGAGCCCAAAGCAATAGACCCTGCTACAGACCTGGAGTCATTCTGAGACCCCCGATATGCCAAACAGCACACTGGGTCCCCAGCCCCCAGTGCAGCCAGATGCAGAAAGGGAACTCTTCCTGATGCCCTGGGGAAGGGGGTAAAGGTGAGGCTCCAGCCCCAAATGGATGAGGACCCTTCCTCTCCTCCCCGGAAGACCGGTTCCTCCCACCGCTGAGGCCCACCTGCCGGGCTCACGATGAGTCCTGATTACATCCTAACCACTGGTGCCTGTCACTCCTCACCCAGTACCGCCTGTGCCGGGCACTGCACGGGACCCGGGGAAATCAAACACAGCCTTAGGTGAAAGGACCTTAACGGTCTTCCGGACAGCCATTCCTCCTCTCCAGGCATCCTCAGGCTGGGATCTCCGGTGTCCTGAGGTCCCTGAGGAAGTACATCCGCTAGGGGGAAGGGTCTCTGCTTCCTTCCAAGGCCCTGTCACCACCGCCACCCGGTCCTGTGCGGCGCAGCGCCGCGGGCCTGAGTTTCCAGTCCGCTTCTAGCGCCCAGCAGCCGCCTAGAGTTTATGAATCACTGTCTCCTGTCGCCGGCCTCGCCTCCGGAAGGGCTGCGCACACCCAGACACATCGCCCAGACAAGACACCCTGAGTTTCCACCCTAGAGCCTCCTGTAGAACCTCCAGGACCAGCTGCAACGTCTGGTTCTCCTCCCCACTTCTCGGCCTCAGGCTGTCACTCTACGAAGCCCAGGAGGCCTGGCCCCTACCTGGGGCACTTTGGGGGATGGGGGGGTCCCCTCTTACAGGAGGGCTGCGGGGGCCGCAGACAAAGACCGTATATTAACGCAGAGGCCCAAAGACAAGCCTGATTTCAACGCCCCAAGCCCAGTGCTCCCACGAGTGCATCTGAGTGGGTGGCAGGCGCGTGGTGGGGGAGGCGCGCGCGAAGCTCCGCGCTCAGTACGCGCGGCGTCTGTGGAGGAAACGCGTGTGCCTGGAGGATAGAAATCGGGGTGCCGAGGGATGTGGGTGCAGCGTGAGGTTTTCCCTGAGCCGGGAACTCCCTCGATCGTTCTCTTCTTCCAAAGTTTGGCGCGCGCGCTAGGACTCACAAGGCGCGGCAGAGCCGCCTCCCCCGACCCAGGACGCGGTTCCGGGACCCGGTGCCCCACTTACCCCGACCGCCGAACCTCCTCCGACCCAGGCGGATCCGATATGCCCCGCTGGCGTCCAGCGCGGGCCGCATCCGCTCGCGACTCGGGCTCTGCGCCGGGCTGCGCGCGCTCCCCGGGCGGCTCGGGGGAGGAGGGCGGAGGGGGCGGCGCGGCCGCGGGTCCTCTCGCCGGGGGAAGCGGCGCCAGGCGGGCGCCGTCCTGCGCGGCTCGGCGACCGGTCCTCGCCCCGGTCCTCCCCGCGGTGGCCGAGCCGGCCAGCGGCCCGCGTCGACGGAGGATTCCTGAACCGCTTCCAAGGCGCCCGGGAGCCCCGCCTTCTCCTGCTCCTCCTCCCCGCCTCACCCCACCCCGCTCAAACCCCTGCGCGCCCGGCAACTTGGGCACCGCTGGCGAAGTTGGGGACGCCGGGGACTCGCGCCCGCCGGACCTCGGGGACGGAGGGGAGGAGCGTGGGGGAGAGGACCGCCCCGCCCCCGGGGGCCGCGCTCCCCAGGACCCTCAGTGGGCCTTTGTTCCCGACCCGCACCCCTCCCGGGAGTCTGGGAGGAGCCCGGCCCCGGGTGGGGAGGTACGGGGAGAGGCCTCGCCCAGAGCCCCCCAGGCGGTTCGCACACCCCGGAGGCCCGGGCCGCGCCGGTCCTCAGCCACCCCGCTCTGGGGAGAGCTTTCCTGCCCTCCTGGGTTAGGGGAGCTGAAAAATGGTTCCCCAGGTTTCCGGGGACCGCAGCAACCCTCCGTGGCGGCCACAGGTCACCCGCCGGCCCGTGCCGGCAGCCAGTCCGGGACTCCCTGAATGAGAGGCCCGAGCTACGCGAGCCCAAACTGTTGGCATTGACTACAGCGGGCGCCTCTGCCGCCCGGGTTTGCCAGGCTGGTGGGGACCCCTTCGCCTCCTGGGCATGGGACGGTAGCCAGCTGAGGCAAAGACCCTTCTGAGTTGAGTGACTCTGTAAAGGGCTCAGAACCAGAGTAGGAACCAACCTCTCTGTCACTTGTTGGAATCCTATGAATGTCAGGTCCCCGGCATATCTTTGATCCCGGCTGGCACGGTTTTCCTCCTGGGACTTCCTCATACTTAGCATCCTAAACTAATTCAGGCCTCTAAGACGCGGTCCTGGCATTGAATGGGATAGTACAGTATAGGGTGAGACGCAGTTAGTTATTTCCTGTAAAGAAGAAGTAGGAGAATTTAAAAAGGGGAAACCCAGACATCTGTACTTGACCCTCCCTGTCATTCTCAACATTTGCAGACCAGAACGGAGGCAACAGGGATGCAGCAGGTAGAAGCCTGTCTCCCCAGGAGCTGGGGTTTGGCATGGATCGAAGGGGGCAGAGGTGGGGGCCTTCAATCCCAGGCTGGGACTGCAGGACTGGTGGTGCAGGGCCCCAGTGAGGGCATCATGTGTGCAACCAGAGGCAGAGGGTAAAGGTCTAAGCCCGGAGACTGGAAATTTTCATCCTAAAATAGTCCAGGACTCAACTTGTTGCCATAATTGCTCAGCCAAGAGAACTGGTCTTATATTTTTACCCCGTTTGAAAAATGGAAAGAACTTTCCAGCACAGAGGCAGAACTGTAGAACCATTGCCACCTGGCCATCCACGTGGATGTCACTGGCAAAGGGACACCACCCCAGACTGCGAGCACTGAGGTCCACACGTTGAGCATGAAGACACCAGTCCCCCAACACCCCCAACCTGGTCCTGGGAAACAGTGGATGAGTTCAAGTGGAGGGACGCTTTCAGAACAGCCTGTCTATAATTTTATTTATTTATTTATTTTTGGTACCAGGGATCGAACTCGGGACCTTGTGTTTGTGAGGCAGGCAGCGGAACCACTGAGCTAAATCCCCAGCCCTGGTCTATAATTTTAAATTGTCAGAGACAGGAAAGAGACAACTAGGCCAAGAAACCGGTCCCGATGAGAAGAGACCAACGAGACAGACAAGAGCCGATTTCAGGGACAGGCTGTCAAGGCTGAGGCTTCTGTCTCTGTCTCTGGCTCTTCTGTCTCTGGCTCTTCTCAGCTCGCCTGCTCTCATGAGCCCCAAGGGCAGACTGTGAGCAGCCCCTGGGAAGGGCTGGTGTCCTGGGAACTGGGGAGGCCTTTTGGCCAGCAGCCAAGAAGGCAACAGATGTCCCAGCAGGTCCCGATCCTGGCCCACAGTCCCAGGTGAGCCTTGAGGTGGCTCCAGCCAATGCCCTGATGGCTGCCTCGAGCAGGACTCTGAGCTACAGAACCAGCCTTGCTGGATCAGGACCGCTGATCTGCAGAAGCTGAGGCCATAGGCGTTGTTTTCAGCCACCAAGCTCGGGTCACTTGCTGTGCAACTATCTATGGCCATAATAACCACTAAATGCCATATGTCCCCCTTAACTGGATCCTGAAACTGAAACAATTCCCGTGAAAGAGGTATTTAGGTCATTGGCAAAAAAGACTAAGGCCTGGCTGTGTGGTAATGTTGTAACAATGTCAAGATTCCTCAGTGATAACCGCGTGGCTTTGTGAAAGGAGTTTGTATGCAAGACAAATACACTATTTTGGTCATGATTTTTGCCCACTTCCTCTCAAATGGTTCAGAAAGAAAAATAACAATGCATATTAAACATATTATCTACAGCATATACAGTTACAGAGAAAGTTTTGTCTATATATTGATATATATCTGTTGGGGGGGTTGTTTGTTTTTGAGACAGGGTCTTGCTATGTAGTTCAGTTTAGGCTGGTCTCTGACTTGTGGCAATCCCCCTACCCCAGGCTCCGAGTTCTGGGATAACAGGTGTGCACCGCGATGCCCAGTTTAATTTATCTGTTGCATAACAAATCACCTCAAAAAGTAATGACAAAATAACTAAAATGTGCATTGTTGCTCACCATCTTGGAACTGACTGGACTCAGCTGGGAGATTCCTTCACACCAGCTGGGACCTCGAACTTTGCTGCATTGCTGCACACAGGGCTGGGATGGGCTGGGAATTCCAGGTTGCTGTCCGGGGCATCCACCCTCGCGGCCCTGCTCACCTGGGGCTTCCTCACAGCGGGAGATGGGGCAGCTCTGGAGACTGAATCCAGAAGCCCAGCTGAAAGTGGGGCCAGGAAAAACAGTGGGGCCCTGACTCTGGGAAGAATCCCGGGGAAAGGCTGAGGGAGCAGAGGAAGAAGGCAAAGAGCTCCCTGGCCATTTTCCTGAGCAACCTGAGCTGACAGAGTCCAGGCTGTGGGCTCAACAGCCGAGAATGAGCTCTTCTCCCTTCCTGCTCCCCTTGTCTCAGCTTCCTTTGCCTCCAAATGATCTTAACCTGGGCGCTTGCTTAAGGGTGTCACGGAGCAGAAATGGAGGGAGAAGATGTCCCTTATTTAGCTCAAAGTACAGGAGCTTGACCGGAGTCATTTCATTCAGTCTTCACAGCAGCCCTGCACAAAAGCTCTTGTTATCCCCTGTGAAAAGAAGAGGATGAGCCGGGTGAGGTGGTCATGCCTGTGAGCCCAGCACTTGGGAGGCTGAGGCAGGAGCATTGCCAGGAGTTTGAGGCCAGCCTGAGCTACATAGTGAGACCTAGCCTCAAAAAACAAAAAGAAAAAATAATGAAGGAGGAAGAGGAAGAAGAGGAGGAAGAAAAAGAGGAGAAGGAGAGGGAGGAGGAAAGAATCTGAGTTTCGTCAAACCTTCAAGCCTGTAATCGAAGTCCTAATTTAGAGAAATGCCAAAGACAGAGAAAGACTGTCTAAAGGATGTCTGTGGAAAATTCTACAAAGACCCATGTTTTTCAGCAGCCACCAAATAAAGGGGATGAGGGAGAAGAGAGATACAGGGAACTTTCAAAGACTGAAGGAGGCAGGAGCAAAGAGGAACCCTAAGAAGCACTGCATTGTGAATTGCATCACCTTTCTGTTCTCCCGAGGCCCCTTGCAGACAGGTGGTGAGCGCCCTGACCAGGTGACCAGGGGCACCCATGCGATGCATGTGATGAGGCTGGTGTCTGCCACAGGTTCCCTTCCTGCCTGCCTTCCTTCCTTTCTTTTTTTTAATGGTTTTTTTGAGACAAGGTCTCGCTATGCAGCTCAGGTTGTCTCTGAACTCACTATGTAGCCCAAGCTGGCTCAAAACTTCTGGAAGTCCTCCTGCCTCAGCCTCCTGAGTGAGGGATTACAGATGTGCATCACCACACCAAGCCACAAGTTCCCTTTCTTAACTGTCACCCCTCTCCCTGTCTATGACCCAGTGCTGTCAACACACCACTGAAACCCCTCAAGCCTCTCCCTGGAGGTTTCAGTCAGTCTCCTCGCCACCTGCTAAATGGACCTGGTAATTCCTCCCGTATCCCCTGAGTGGCATGTCCCTGCTATTCTTAGAATTGTATTTATTAATGTTTTCATGCTTCTTGCTGCTAAGTGTGATTTCCTGCCTGTGTTTAGAATGATCGCTAAAGACCCCACAAGAAGCCACGCATGGTGAGGCACACTTGTAATTCCAGCACTCAGGAGGCTGTGGCAGGAGGATTGCTGTGAGTTCAAGGCCATCCTGGGCTACAGAGAGACCCTGTCTCAAAAAACAAAAGAAAACAAAAAATCTGTGGAGCGGGAAGGAGTGGGGGCAGCTTGGATGGAAGGTGGTCGGGGCCGTGGTGACCACTGCTGAAGCTGCTGATGGTCCCGGGGCCCACTGCCACATTCGTTCTATTTTGTACACATGGGTGGGGTGCAGCTGGGCAGCAGAGCGCTCACCTAGCGTGTGAGGGTCGGTGGGTTCCATCCCCAGCACCACCAAGAACTAAATAACTCACCTTGAACGGGAAGGGCAAGGCTGCCCGTTTCTGCTGACCCTTGATGTCCGCAGGGGAGGGGGGAGCCGCCGCCTCCTCCTGGGCAGAGCAGAGGGAAGGGACAGCTGCTGCAGGGCCCGGCCAGCTGGGGAGCTGCAGAGCCAGGCTGTGAGGAGCTGGGCCACGTTCTAGGGAGCACTGGGGACCCGTGGAAGGGCTTGAAGCAAAGCAGAGGCACAGCGAATTCGCCTTCTAGGAAGGGCACTGTGAGCACAGCCAGGGACAGTTGGGATATCCAGGGAGGAGCTGGTGGTGGCCTGGGCTGAGGGTGGCAGTGGGGAAGGAGCGCTGTAGTCAGTGGGCCTGGCCTGGTT